GCTTTAAGGTAATCTGTGTTGCCAACCCCAGAACAGCAACTCCAGGGCACTGCTGAAAATCAGAAGCAGATGGATAAAGATAGCAACTTACTGCAAACTTGTAGCAATAAAAAAAAGTAAAATTAGGGGGCTGGCTTAAAAGTCAGGAGATTTAAAAATTATACAATTCTTTGTACTTTCCTTTTTGTTTCTGAGCCTGTAGGATCTATTTGAGTCAAGTTTTCAGATTACTTTCAGCTATGGAATGCCAGAACTAACTTTTTCTTGCAAAACAATCTGAATTACTCAAATCAAGATGGAATTCCAGGAACTGGAACTTAAATGAAAAAGCAAAATGTATGAGATGCTGCAATAAAAAAAAAGTAAAGGCAAAAGAAGCACAGTATTAACAGAAGTTATTTTTCTGCCTCAACTTTTAAAGAGAAGACTGATGTAACAAAATCCAACCCATAATCTAACAATGATAAATCAATCCTCCTCCATAAGGGTTTCACTGCTGTAATTTGTAAAGTCCATTGAACTGAACAGACCTCTCTAGGAATAAAGGTCTTGGGAGCATTCCCATTTTTTCAAGGCAAAAAGGACAACTCATGCATGAGGCAGTAAATTTTTGGCTGTCTCAGAATACACTCAGTGAAGTGGCTCTTTGTGAGTTATCTAAATCTCTGCACTTATACACAGTTGATGTTTCTAGACATTTGGCTTACTGTTTCTGCTCTGGATACTGATGTCTTCTGTGAAAGAGAACTGTCCCCATAATTTTTGTTAATCTTCTGCATTGTGCTATTTGCAGTGAAATTACAGTGTAATAATTTGCAGTGATTTCCTTGACCTTCAATTAGGAAATGTCCTACTGTGCTTCAGGCAATTTATTTTCCCCTAGTGCAGTATAAAATTATGTCTACAGCTACAGCCTCTGTGATGTTATTTCTCTATCAATGACAAACTTCAGGGAAACATTAGGAATGAACTGCTGTGACTTACTAATTGAATGTTTGCCTTCAAGTGGACTATTGTTGGTAATCCTGGAAAACTGTTCAAACTGAATGTGTAGACTGGCATGAAGTAAGGCAGAATCTCACAGCAAAGATTGTCCTATTTCTACAAAATTAAATTTGAAAGGAGCAAAATGGTAGCCAATGTATTTCTAAACAGCAATGACAAATATAAGCTTTTAATTTCTTCCAGAAAGAGCAACATAGTGCAAAAGAAAAGACCAAAACTCCCTGCTCCTCCATCTCTGCTTCCTTCCCACTCCCTCCCCCTCTATCCCAACCTCAGCTGCCCTACAGCACTTATATTACTGGAATACAGAGAATTTCACCTGGCACAGTTTAACCACTTCCCAAACTGACACAGGCTATTCCAGTGTATGCATGATAACCATGCCTGTGTCTATAAAACCTTTTCTGGCTTTAACATGGGTGGTATAACCAGAGTGGCAAAACTCCCTGTAGAGACCATGCCTTGGCACAAAGCTTGGCACTGAAGACAACAGAGTTCTGATTTTGTTCATAGTCTCTAGCATCACTGACAGGTACCTATAAAACAACAGGATTCCTTCCTTAATCATTTTTTATCCTAGAGCAGTAGTGATCCCACTGTGGTGCTCTGTAAATGGCTAAAGGGAATAAAAAGAAAAGTCTAACACCAACAGGAGAGGAGAGTATTAACAATTCCTGACAGAGTTCATCCTAAAGTTTAGGTTTAATTTTAACTATCATAAAAAAGTATTTTAAATAACATTCTACAGGCCTGAAATTCTGTGCTCCTAAAAGTAAAATCAAATGCTGTAAATAATGCCAGATGCCCTGAACTGAGTCCATGACTGAGTTCATTCTTGAACACATGCTGCTATACATAAATTCTTCATATCTTATGTTCTCTTAATTCTGAAACCATGAGTTCATTTTACCACTACTGCATACAGTCTTGTTCAGTGGAAGTATTACTGTCATTTGATCCACCAGTTCTCAATCCCACACACAGGAAACACACCAGCAATGTTCATCTTTAATTTCTTCTCCCTCAGCCATCATCCCTGTAGCCATTGCTCTTCCAAGATGACATAAAACCACACCCTTTTTGGCAATGGATATTTCCTTTTAACAATGAAAGACAAATTAAAAAGGATACAAGTCCGTGGCTGACCAAGAACACTCATTCGTATAGCCTGGAGCAGGAAGGATGTCAAAGTATAATATGTGTCTGAAAGAATCAGAGGAAATGGCATCATCAGAAGGTTTTGATCTCAGGTGGGAAAAAGGAAATTCAAGACTGATCTGGACTCATCTCATAGATAACTTAAGGATACTGCTGAAATCTCTGAGATGTTCTAAAATCTAAATATTTATGAATATACATAAATACTTAGCTAAATGATATTATGATGCAGAATGGAAAGGTCAGCAGTGAGAAAATTTAAATATATATTTAACTATTCCTCCCTCCTTACCAATTGCAATTAACTACATGACCATTGCTTGTTAGGAGACGTATTTAAACCTACCCACCCTCCTCTCCCTGGAAAGAAACAATCAGCAAAACCATCATCTGTGTAAAACACTTCTGTACTTCCCCAAACTCCATGGATTTTGCTGCCCAAGTAATGGAATTACTTTAAACTTGCATGTCTGAACGAAAGAGTCTTTCCTGTTTTTACTTAAACTATTGATTCTTGCCTGAGCCTTTCAAGAGAAGGTGACAGAATGAGGCACACAATGCGCACAAACAGTATCCAGTGATGTTATCAGCAGAGGTTTGATTGAAACAAATCTTGGGTGCTTAATCTCTAGTTTTGACAGAGATGAGGGCTGTTAATTCCCATCAACATTGGTGGGAGAGAAGTACTTACCTACTTTAAGGATGTTGCCCTTGGCTCATTCAAATTGCTTAGCTGACCAAACCAGAGCACTGCTATCCCCAGTTTATTTATCTGCAGCCCTGAGAAATTCAATACACATGGTTTGTGCAGCCGGCTTACACACAGTTAGACTCACAATTAGGATACAATGCAAAACATTTATTGAGAATAATTTCTTGGAAAAATCTCTAGAATAAACACAGATAACTGCTTAGTGAGCTCTGTGAACAAAACAAAATATGAACTTTCTTTTTTTTTCCCCATTTTAATCTGCTTCTTAGTGTATTTGTCTTTGCAACTGCACATCCCTTCAGAAAGTATTTAAGACTCAATAGTGGAACACTTACAACCAAACTTACCACAACATACTGGAGGCCTGAGGAAGAAGGAACACTTTTCCCTCAGACTCAGCTAACAGAAATTCATGTTAGAGTACATGAAGTACAACAAAGCACAATAAAATAAGGCAAATATGTGAATAACAATGTTTCATGAGATTTGAGCATATGATCAGAGTAAGATGCTGCCCACCCTTTCACTGTGGACCTCACCACCTCCTCTTTCCACACTTTACCTCCAGTGCCTTTTTGTGTCTTATCTGTCTTATCTCTGTGTGATCTTATATCTGTGTGATCTTAGCAGTCACACTCTTGTGCAGCCTCTTACATTTTACTTCATCTTTTTCCTTCTTTTGTTTAACTTCTCATTTTTTAAAATCACCACCTCCTTGGAAACTTTTGAATAATAAACAGAGAATCAAAAGCAACTGCAAGAAAAGATCAGATAGTTTCCTTTGCATTTCACATTGCAGCAAAAAATAATTTGTCATATTACAGTACTGGAGTTTACAGGTGTGTCAGAAACAGGAGGAATATTATTTGCTGCCTGGGTCTGATTTGACTGTAAATTCTTTGGGGTAGAAGCTACGTGATCATTTCCATGAACTGGACTGTGATAGCCTTACTACTGTATAGGAAATCTTGCTCCTTTAGTAGGCTTGTGCACATAAAAGTATTGTAACCTCATCCCATATTTGCAAGAGGTTGTTAATGTCTTTCCACACAAAAGCACCTTTGGGGACTGAGCAGGGGGAAAAAAAGCGCCTTGGGGAAGGGTGTGACCTGCTACAAGGGACTCTCCTCCCCCCTTCCATCCCATACTTCTCCATTTCTGGTGAGCAACCTCACTGGCTGCAGGCAGCAGGGCTTGGAGCTGTCATTTAGCTTTGTTCACTACAAGCTGCAGTCATATATTTTGAGTTGTAGTTTTTGAGATTAGCGAGAGACACATACCACCATCATCCAGTGAAAATATAAGATTGGAGAAGGCAGATGAAAAAAGAGACTTAGTGTTTGTTCCTGTCTTTTATTTGAGTTTTTCCAGCTTCAAGCAGCTGTAACCTTAATTAGAATTTACAGGACAAATAATAAGCAGCACCTTCTACGAGAAAAAAAAACAGGGAGAAAGTAGAGAAGCTGAAGAAATTCATTCATTGTCCAAATGGCTGAATTAGAAAAACTAGCCTTCTTTTAAAAACATGGTGTGACTGCAGACAGGCATGAAATAGTTGTGGCCATGGTCTTTACCTAATAAGGTCTTATTTCAAATATTCTTGGCATTTTCATGTTTGGTTAGTTCACTTTGAAACACAGAATTTCTTTCAGAATTTCTTCTATTTCTTTAATGATTTCTAAGTCTTCTTTACAGTGTGCAAGTTGAACAGAAGTTAAATTTAACTTTGCTTTTGAATGCAAAATAGATAAGGATCAGAAGAAATATAGAGAAGGCCTCCTTAAAATTAGCAGTTAGTTTCTTCCTTGGGAAACAATTAGGCTAGGAGTTATTTTTTTCCAAGGAAGCAAGACTGATGTTGTGATTACAGTATTTGGTCTTACCAACATAAAGAATGTCCGCCTCTCATTTTCAGGAAGAGATTATTATTTTAATTTTAAGTGGACTTAGTGCATTTATAATCAATTCCTTGAAATAAACCAACATCTGTTACACCTAAACTGAGATTATAATGTCCACCTAGAAACTCATACCTGCTGTAGTTAAACTCACATAACTTTCTTACTTATTTAAAACACCAGGAACTTCAGCCAGAGACTGGATAAACTGATGAACAAGGAATTACAGCTTCAGAATAATTTTCTATCAGAAGCAATGTCATTGTTTAAAAATCTGCTGACAACTTTGTCCCAAACACTGTAAAGTCATGTGCCACTCCCTTTTCTCGTTTCCAGCTCAGCTCTAAAAAATTATGAAAGCTGAAATCTGTCATGTTCAATCAGAGAGCAGCACGTTGACAAGGGCGGTGCATCCTGGGAAGCTGTGGAAGCTGCCCTATACTGCAGGTAAGGACTGCACACTAATTAATGCCCTCGGTTTAATTCTTTATTCTGAAATACTGCACTACCATCAGAGGTGAGATAATAAAACAATATGACAATTCTTCTTTTCACAACAAGCAACATTCAAATAAACTCTTTACAGCAAGGGCAAATAATGCATACAGCTTCAGACTCAGTCTCTTAAGTATGTTCCAACAATTTGCCTGCAGGTTTCTGCTACAGGTAGCAACTGTAGCTTTGTACAAACCATTTTTGTCCTATTAAATATGAAGGTTAGAGCAGTAGTAGCTGCGGAAAGAACAGAAGAGCATCATGCACCCTCTCTTTTGAAGTCACTTGGCAATTTCACCAAATCACAGATAAACAGACACAAAAGAAACCTCTTCCCCATATCTCCTCTACCCTCCCATCTCCAGCCCATCTGCCAAGGAATGCTGATCTCCTCTGATTTTCTTTCCAGCACTCTTTAGCTTCTTCCACCTTAGTGCATGTGCCAACCAGCTTGGGCTCTTTGCTGAAGATCCTGCGGAGCAGGAAAATGTTTTCTTCTGATTGTCATCCTATACTGTGATGTCCAGACTTCTGTGGTTGGAAAACCATGGTAACATCAGTCAGTCCTCTCACATTATACAGTAAGTAATATGAGAGAGCACTTACCTTTTGTATAGAAGCAATATAGACCTTAATCACGTTATTTCTTTAGCTGTCCCAACTATTCAGTACCAAGTAGATAGGATGTTCCACAAGTGTGGCATACTTGTGGTTAATGATGCTCCAGCACTCAGGCAGATCATTCTTCCTGGTGGAGAATAATGTATATTGATCTCTGCTGTCCTGCCTTGAGGCCTTGAACAGATAGTAATGGTGTGCTGAGACAGCTGCTCCCAGGGACTAGCCTTTGTTTATCTTGTTCTCTAATCAAACCCATAAGTATGACAGTAAAGAGCATCAGTTTCAATACAAACACCTAACGCATACCACAACTAGGCAATGTTTGGGCTCTCTGTAATACACCGATTTGTTTTTCTGTTTAAATAAATAAACGTAGCACAAATGTTTTTCCATAAAAAGAAAGGAACAGCAAGAAAGAAAGGCTGGAGCTTTCAGGTTGCCTGCCCATACACTGAAACATCCCCAACACCACTGTCACCTAGATAGGCAAATACAGCACTTCACTCAAGTGAAGATGTGGCCGAGCACTGGTCAGGACCACATGAGCTATATCTCTGCATACTCCAAAGCTCCTAGAATGGATCTCTGCTACAGACCTTTTTTGTGGCATTAACAAAATCTCTGTGGTTGCGTAACTGTTAAGGTCCTTCAAGGTGGCTCTTCAGTAAGGAGAAATCCAAAATACTCTGTTCTTCTTCCTTTCATTTGTTTATTTATTCATCCCTGACTAGAGCTTGGATTTTTCGCTCTAAGTCAACGTGTTTATAAAGAGTAATTTTATTAGCATCTGTTACTTACTTTTCATTCAGTCATTAATTTTCATTAAACATTCACAGATAAATATGTGTCTGACATACTTTATTGAGGTGATTACGCATAAAAAATTAAAAAATTGAAACCTGCCTCTTGCAATGGGGAATAATTTTTAAAAGATATTGCAACCAAAGCTCACAGTCAAATCTGAGAGGGGAAAAGTTGGAGAACACCAATCCTAGACTCAAATTAGAAATGTTTACATTAATGTTAAGGTTACCATGTAGTGACCTATGCACCAGGTCAAGTGAATGTGACAGGGCTGTATCATGTCTCTGCAAAACAGTATTCAAAACCCCTCTTTCCCCATGGAGTGCTTTTCCTAGCAGCATGCACGATACACCTCAATCCAAGCTTTCCTCTGTTAGCTTGGAGTTTCCTACAGTCTCCTTTCAAACTTTTCTTTGTTGCCTAATACCAGTTTCATCTTTCCAGAGGGACACTGTGACCTGCTTTGACCAATGGATGGAGTTAATACAAGACCAAATGTAAAGCCTGATTGGAAAGAAGTACCTGAGAGACCTTCTGTGCCACAGACAATTTTTCTAGATGAGAGACCTTTTTTTATTACAGAGAAGTATCAAGGGAGTACAAACACCTCTCTGAAAAACACAAGTTATTTTGGCAATTTTTTCAGGCGGGGAACCTGAAGAAAAGGAACTCAGAATTCACAAAGAAATTTATTGCTGAAATCTACAGGAAAAAAAGCTGATAGATAAGAGAGGTAAACTGCAGGGAGAACACCATTCCTGCTCCATGCATCACACCACTACAGATACTTTTCTCTCTTGGGGGTTCTGCAGTAAATACTCTGATAATGTTTTTGCTATTTATTCTGCCCACCTGCTCTGTGCACTTTAATCTCTCTGGAAGGCCCTTGCATGTGGCCCTAGTTGTTTCCCTATCATTGTCCTGCTACAAAGTATGAAAGTGTGGTTGATCTTGATGCCGGAAACACAGACAGGATGCTTAGTAAAGAAACAAGAACTTTAAAACATTTAAAAGAATTTATGGAGTCATATCTGGGATCTCCTTCTGCCAAGGATGCAGTCATTGAAGATCTCCTCAGTGCACTCACAGACTACATGTTCCATTTGTAGGGAGGGGTGGAGGGATACTTTCCATGTACTGAAAGGATCATCTGTCTTGGAATTTCTGTGAATTTTAGAGATGAGAGGACATAGCACAGAGATATAAAGTGTGAGCATTTCTGTCTTCTTGAGAACACGATTAACCCTCATACTTATGCTCTGAAATAAAACTAGTTACACCCATAGAAAAAAATGCAGCCATGTGCAGAGCTTGGACCACATTTTCAGCAGGCACCTGAGCTGAAGATTTTCCTGACAAAGCCCAATTTCTCTACTGGTTGCTTGTTGAATCAGCTGATATCATAGGCCCGGTGTGAATATTAGAGGAGTTGAGCTCTGTGCATGTGCCCAAATTCATCCATTTTTATTCAGCTCAATAATTCCACCACAAGTCATCTCTGCTGCTACTCCTTACTGAGCCATCGTGCAGCCACACATAAAACTTCACTCCCTGAAGCAGCACTTGTATTCAATTTCCCATAGAGCTCTGGTTTAAGTGGGAAGAAGAGAATGGTCCTGCAGGATTTTGTTTTTCAGTGTTATGGCTTATTTTAAATGAAATAAACTAAAAAATGCACTGTGCTTTGCAGTGGAAGAAGTCTTACACAGCCTTTTAAAGAAATGGCAGCAAGTGCTGTCAAAGCTCTGTTTCATAATATTTACAAAGTAGTTGATTCAGACAGTAAGGAGATGACCACATATCAGAAATCAGGAGAGAGATTTTCTTGCACAGTTATTGAGTGAACATTCACAGAGTCCTGAAGTTACAGGAAACTCCTGATTCATTATCTGTCATATCCACGGAGTAAGCAAAGGGCTGTAACAACTCTACTTCTAATGGTGCCCCATGTTATGTTCGGTCACGCAACTGAGTCTGTGGTTCACAGGTTAGTAGGGTGCCCTCATGGCAAATCAGGTAATATCTGCTTTATCTTCCTTCACCAAAATATAAGCTCAGTGTTTTGCATATGTTGCTTCATGCTCATTTTGTTTAAATCAGCCTATTAATTTTTGTACTATGCAGTCATTCTCAAGACAGGCATGACCTCAGTCTTTTATTATTTAATGACTTTCCCTTTGTGGGACAACATACAGCTCTTCCATGTTGCTCGTCACTTGGAAAAGGACCAACTCCATGAGTTGGTCTGAATGAGGAGGGGGGAAAAGGTTTTTTTTTAGGTATTGAAATCTAGTCTTGCCTTCTTCAGGCTGGAGAAACTCCAGATAATTTCTGCCGGTACAAATATGAATGATACGCTTCTACGAATCTAAACAGTGGCACAGCAAATTGTTCAACCCTTGTCTGAAGCACAGTTTCTTAAGACAGTGAGGTGCTATCCTCTTCAAAGCAGCTTCAGGGCATTAGAAGGGTTTCAAGTGAAACAAGACAGATTAAAGCAACAGTCATAATCTCATCTTTTCCCATTGCTATTTATCACCAATGAAGTGTTCCTATGCATCTGTAATGGCTCACATTTCTCTGGGGGACAGGAAGCTTTAGTGTATATTTCCAGTGAAACAACTTCTAAAAAACAGTCTGAATGCATAATTTTGACCTCAGCATTGAAAGGTTATTTTCCTGCAGACTCAGAGGCCAAGTGAAGTTGTCAGGTGAGACCAACTGTAAGACTGGCAGATGAAACCTTCCTGTTTCAGCAGGTCAGGGCAAACTGTGAGGAGAGCAGGCTGTCGTCTACAGCACAAGAAAGGGTCCAACCCTGCTGCTGGCTTTGTCTGCCTGTGAGACCTAGAAAACCCTGAGCAGCTGCTGTGGCCATGGGAGGCCTGGGAACATGTGGACAGGGTTGGGGCTGGTCAGGCTCATCAGCAGCAGCAGGCACTGCTCCCAAAACTCCCACCCAAACTCTTCTCCACCCATACATCACTGTCTCCCTTCCCCTCCTTCCCTCTGGTGGGAGCAGCCTGACCTGGCCCAGCCTTGATGCTTTGTTCAGTTTCGCCTCAATCCAAAGATCCAACCTGCAAAATAGCAGGAGCTGAGAAAGATAAAGGAGCTGTGTGGTCCTGACAGCGGTGGACCCATTGCAGATGGCCTCACCCGGGCAGGCCACTCAGTTGAGGTGCTTGAGTTGGATTTTAACAGCTGGGTCAACCTGAATGCCCATTGCTCTCTCCAACCACTGAACACTCCTCCTTACGAATAAAGGCTTATTGTACATCGCTTGCAGAGGTAGCTGCCAGCACCCTTCCCATGCCAATGGGTTGGAATGAGCCATTGGGCCATACAAGGGAATGCCATGTCATGGCACTGATGTCAAGCAAGGACCACAGGGCAGCAAGCCCTTCTCAGCCTCCCTCACGCCCACCGGGAGCACCACCAGCACACCGGGAGCCCACTGCGTCTGCACCGGCCCCACCTGAAGGAGAACCCAGTGCCCCTCTTGCCCGCCATTCGCGGGGCTGCGCTCTGTCCCAGGACTCCGGGTCATCGGGAGAGGGGAGCTCCTCCTCAGGGGCCCGGCCCCCTCCTCCCATCCGCTCGGGAGCGGCCGTCAGCCGGCTCGGGCAGGTTTGGGAGCGGGGCTGCCCCGCAGGGACCCGCTGATGGCGAGGGGCGCCCCGCGAGCCGGCGGCTCCCGCTTCTGCTCGGCCGGGGGGATGGAGCGGGGCGGCGGCCGGGGCCGGCCGGCCGGGTAGAGGGGACGCGCCTCGGCCGGAGGGGGTGCGGAGCCGCTGTGGAGGGCGGAAACGGGGTGGGGGGGATTTGCGTCAGTGAGGGAGCTGGGAGCGGACGAGGGCGGGCGGGACGGACGGAGGGGACAGACGGACGGGGGAGCCCTCCGAGAGGCACCGGCCCGTCCCGCTCGCCCGCCGCCGCTGCCCGCCGCCCCATGGAGCTGTGCCCGGGGCCCGCCGTGCACTGGGGATGGGCTGCCGCTCCTCCTCGCCCTGGGCGCCGGCTCAGCCACGGCACCCCGCACCTGCCGTACTCCCGGCGGGCTCCCGCAGCAAGTGAGTACCTCCGCCCGCGAGCGGAGCGGGAGGCGCTGCCGCGGCGGGGCGAGCTGGGCAGCCCGGGGTGCCGGTCCGGGCGAGCTGGGCCGGCGGGAGGACTCTCTGACGGGCGCCTGTCTTTCCACCTCCAGGAACGGGGTGCGCCTACATAGTGACAAGAACGTGAGCTGCTCGGTGCTGGACGGGACGGAGAGCTACGTCCAGGCCCAGTACAAGTGCGCTTGGAACCAGTTCCCCTGCCAGCCGACCCCGGTGTAAGTAGCCCAGGAGGCGACCTCGGGAAGGCAAGAGCTTGGCCACCCACTGCCAAGCCCCGGCAGGGAGGTGGTCGCTGCGCCGGCGCTCGGGTGGTTCCCGGCACCCCAAAAGCGCAGAGTCGGGGCAGGAGGGCGCGGACCGCCCCTGGTCCCCAGCACGCCCCAGACAAAGCGCGCTCTCATTGCAAACATCAGGCGGCCGGAGCTAATTGGAGCCAGATTGAATTGTTGGTCTGTGCAGCCAGCCCGCCGAGAGGGAGCTGCGCTGGCACACCTCGTCGGCGTGGTGGGGCGTGCAGGCAGGCGGAAAGCACGCGGGCTGCTTCCCATGGACGGCGGGAACGCCGGGATCTGCCGGGAGCGCACCTATGTGCTGCTGGGTGCGCCCCTACGCACCCTGGCCCAGAGCTGCCGGGGTACAGCCACGCTCAAAACCGGTTTTATAGTTGCTCTGTGTTCCTGGATCAAGAGAGAGCCAGGAACGTGAGCCAACTGCTTTACAGTCTGTGTATCCCTGTCGGTTGCCCAGCAAGGGGAGCTGCCAGTGCAGAGATTTTTACGGGAGGTTATATAAAGTTACTTTTTTGATTTTAAGCTTTATGAGTGTGACCACATGCTAGTCTGCAGAGTGACCACCTACGGCACGCTGTGCTGCAGCAAGGCTGTGTGAGCCTGCAGGTACCATAGGCGTCAGGGAACAGATGTATCCCACTTACCTTCTGGCTAATCTCAGGCAAGTCCCCATTCCTCAGTTTCCCACTTGAGAAGCAGTAATATTTGCATGTTTCTGTTTGAAAGCTCTTAGTGATATGCATCCTGTGAAAGCATTTCACCTCTCCCAGAAGTCAGTCGAAGGACACCCACAGATTTTCGTAGGCTCAGACTTGGGCTGAGGTGATGATGAGGATTGTTTTAGAGTAAAACTTCAGTAACTAGTTTTTATTTTGACGTGAAACAGTGAGAATGAAACTTATACTGCTGCATCCTGGGTACTACTGAAATAAGACTGTGGACATTGATGACACTGCCACCCTGGGGCCCATGACAATAGGTGTTGCGTGTTTGGCATTCAAATGCCTCGCTTTCTGTCTGTTTGGGTTGCTGTTTTCGTTTAAAAAAACAGCTTTTCTCTATTGGAAAATATAAACCCTAGAATTTGAGGGGAAAAAACAAAGACAGCATACAGCTGAGTAACACTCTTGTGTAATATCCCGTTTCTCTTTGGAGTGTTGAACTGGCCATTTTGGACTTGTGACTGAGTTTATGAACTGTGTAATGGGGTGTGCCCTCTGTCTTGAGAAGTC